TATAACACGTATTATTTTTAAGCTTTTTGGCGTCCACATAGTAAAAACACAATATTCTCGCCGCGTTATATTTAACTGGCCTTTAATTTGATAGAAATATTTATGATTTTTATTCATTTGTTCTGAATTTTTCTTATCAAAGATGTTCTTTAGTGGAGTCATCTTTATAGCTTCTTCAGCTGTTACGTTCTTAGCTGAGTGCGGACATTTTATTTCTACCAGACCGTCTTCATCTATAAGTCCATCTGGAGAAGCACCCAAGTATGGATGTTCAATATCAATGAATAATCCACAAGGTTTAATCTCTTTTTTTTAGTATTTCGACTAATTCTTTTCTCGCAATTGGTTCTTTTTCGCGACCATATTTTATTGCCTCGGTTTCAATAGCAGAAGGATATAAAATATTTTTCACAGGCAATGCGCAAGACGTTTTCATTCTTTTACAACATACGGTTCCAAAATTAGATGCCGTTAACATTTTACATGCATTTTTATATTATTCATATGTTCTTTAATCCGAGTATTAAGGTGTCTTTTAGTTTGTCCGATGTATGTGGCGTCACAGTCATTGCAGTCAACTTTATAAACTATCTCGATCATATCGGCTTTAGGTAATTTGTCTTTTCGGGGTTTAATATAAAAATGCATGTCAGCAATCAAAATGTTATAAGCAAACATAGAAATGATTTTTCGCATGACTTTAAATGGACAAACTTAAATATTTTACATCGAGAAACAAACACTAGGAAAAGAGAGATTGCTGAAATGTTTTTTATAAAAAAATTTAATAACACGATCAACCTACAGAAAGACACAGAGAATTTGAATCCGATCTATGATAGAATAATCAAAGCTGTTTAATTTAGTTCGTCTTTACCATCCATACTGAACGTTTACGTGACACAGTATTTATATTGAAATATGTAAAATAAAAAAAATTAATTATATATTGCACTAAAGAATTTGTAAGGTACGTTTAAATTGTTATTATAATCTTGGTTTGCGCTTTACTTTCTTAAAAATCAAAATTCTTGTATGTACATCTATTGTATTTTTTAATGTTAATTTTAGACTTGATAAGGACCTAAACCTAAGGTCGAAACGTTGTCTTTTCTTGTACATGGCATCAAACTAATAATAATAAGAATTAATTTAAGCCAGTTGGGTCGTCTCACATTTATTTTTAATTTTATTCATCACTGGCGATACAAGATATCTACTATTAACTTTATTTTAATGTACAATTAAAAATAAATTATTAATTATAAAATTATGTATTACTGAAAAAATAGATAGCTAACAATATAAATACTACTACTGTAGCGCACATGCAAACCACATCTAATGTAAAATTGTAATTGTAATTGTGTAATATTTTTTTTAATTATCAGCACACGAATAGATCGCCTCTGGATTTAATATAACCAGCACACGAATAGACCGCCTCTAGATTTTATATAATCCAGCCCTCGAAAAGATCGCCTCTGGATTAAATTTTGTATAACCAGAACACACATGCAAATCGTTTCTAATCTAGAAAGTTACCAGCACACGAATAGATCGCCTCTGGATTTAATATAACCAGCACACGAATTGATCGCCTCTGGATTTAATATAACCAGCACACGAATAGACCGCCTCTGGATTTTATATAACCAGCCCACGAAAAGATCGCCTCTGGTGCTAACAACTGTAATAATAAAAGTATAATACTCTTTATATTACTACTACTACTACTACTACTACTACTACTACTACTACTACTACTACTACCACCACTACCACCACTACCACCACTACCACCACTACCACCACTACCACCACTACCACCACTACCACCACTACCACCACTACTCTGTAAATTTAGTATATATATTGTATAAAGTAATTTATTTTCAAAGATTTTGTTTTCAAGATAGATAACAAAATAAAAATAAATAGATTTTTTTATTTATACTTTTACGGTATTATTATATTATTTTTTTCTTGGTAATAACTAATTTCTTTACAAGTATTAAAATAAAAATATTTTGTAGTATATCCTTCTCAATATAACAAAATAGCAATATTTACAATATTAAAAATAGGCTTTTAGCAACATTTTAAATTGTCTCAGAATTCACTCATGGATATAACATTTCAAGAACAAGTTGTCAATTACTCTGTATCTAAAAATTATACAAAAAGTATTTTTTATACTTTGGTAAAAAAATTAGTACAGTTCGTACTAGTAAAGTATATAAAAATTAAAAATATGAAAAAATTTTTTTAAATAAAATTTATTATTTTATTATTTTTTATTTATTTTTATTTGAAATAAAAATGTTTAAAAAATGTAAGTAAAAAACAATTTAAATATAATTTCTAATAATAATTTATAATAATTTTTAAAATTAATTTAACAAATTTGTAATTAAAAAATGTTAACAAATAATATATAAAATATTATTTAATTGTTATTATATATAAAATTATTGTAAAACAGAACAAAAAAATTTCCACAATTTTTATACAGCGAATCTCAAAATATCAAAACTTTGGGTGTGTAAAGAAAATGGAGAAAATATTATATTTCAGATTTACTCATTTATGCTGTGTTGTAGAAAATCACCAAAAAAATATTAGTTTATTCAACATTTGAATGTACGCGATATATTGTCACCAGTCTAATGAATTCACATGTACATTTTTGAAGAGTAATAACTGTAATATAATTTGTAAGAAAACAACAGAGATGTAAATATAAACAAATAAAAGTAAGCAGGTTACTATCTTGCATTTATTTATAATTTTATAATTTTATTTTAGGAAACTTTCTTTTTTTCTATAACGTATTTTATTTAATAATAATACAAACAAAAAATATGGTACAGAAATTTAAAGCAGTAATAAAATATATCAAAAAATATCATAAAATAAACATTGCAAAATATAAAATTAGAGCAAATTAAAAATCTTTGAAGTAAAATAAGATAGAGCCGTGATAACAAAATTATTGTATGGTTTTTTTTGTTTGCGTTTATTTTATTCTCTTTTTATTTAAAATTAGTCTGTTACTCATTAGAAGTGTACAAGTAAATTAATAATACATGTAACAATATGTACATATTTGAATGAATTTACCAACATGGCTTTATTTTCTTTAAAATAAAGCAAAAATGAGCAAAGTTCATAGCTGGGTAAGCATGCTATTATAAAAGTGTCCCCAACGAGTTTCGTAATGACATTTGGCCTGTCTTTTTCTAACTGTAAAAAACACAATTTTTCCAAAAGTTTTGCTCCCTAACTCTATAATTTCCTGAGAGAAGGTTATTTTTATTTTAATTCTTTTTTCTATCGCAAATATTTTACATCATCACATAAATTTTTTGCAGAATCAACCAAAGACACTAAAAAAAATTTTTTTTGGTTTCTCGAATAAAAACTCGATAAATTTAAATAAAATAAAGAAATGGCCTTTTCAGAATGTTTCTTTCGAGGTTCAATAACCAAACTTTTACAGAATATTCTTTTTTTTATGTCTGAATACTTTCAAAGTTTTCAATTTTTTTCAAGTTGTTGGAATATCTTAAAAAAAATAAAAACTATTTTTTAGCATTATATTCAAAAATTTAAAAGAGCTAATTTCTTCTCATATAGAAATTTACTTTTCGATTACATCTTTGTAAAAGTTGCTGTAATTTTTGTATAAACATAATTTTATATTTTTTATGTATGATCAAAACTATAATTGTTATAAGAAAAATAAATAATGTTTGGAAATAATGCAAAAAAAGTAATTTTTATTTTTTTTAAATGATGCACCAACTCGAAAAATTTGAAACAATTTGAGAGTATTGAGACAAAGACAAAATATTCTGTAAAAGTTTTGTGATTGAACCTCGAAAGGAACGTACTGAAAAGGCCATTTCTTTATTTTATTTAAAATTTTTAATTGAGTTCTTATTCGAGAATAAAAAAAATTTTTTTGGTGTCTTTGGTTTATTAGAATTTAGCAAAAAATTGATGTGTGATAATGTAAAATATTTGCGATAGAGAAAAGAAATAAAAATAACCTTTTCTCTGGACATTATAGAGTTAGGGAGCAAAACTAGGAAAAATTGTTTTTTATAGTTAGAAAATGACAGGCCAAATGTCATTTATAAACTAGTTGGGGGCACTATGCTTGCCCGGCTATATCTTTTGCAACAATTATAAAATTTTTTTTTATTCTTTATGCACTCAAAGCTTGGAATACGTTGGGATACTCTGTTTGGGTTCGGCAAAGTAAATCTAAGACGTTGCAGACGTCTCTTTCTTTACTCTATTTTTGTTCTATTACAATACACTGATTGGAAAATTTCAGGCCACAGTATTTTTAAGTGTAATTCTACTTTTAGTCTATTTATCTATAATTATATATAATTATATTGTAAGTTTAATTTATTTTCATTAAAATTTAAAAAACTGTAAGGTACAATATAATTGGGTTATAAAATTATGATACGCCTTGTTTTACGAATTTAGTTTAAAATATTTTTTTCAAAATCGCATTATTCATGAAATATTCCACCTTTTTTGGACTTCTGGTCACTCTGTATAAATCTAATGTAAGAAAAAAATTATTAAAATATTTTTTTTTTTCAAAGTATTTTTTACATCACTAATAAATTTATATATAATAAATAACAGAATGAGTCAAAAGAGCATCCAGACGTTTCAGATTGCTTCGCCGAACCCAAGTTCTATACAGGATGTCTGAAAATTCGCGGAACACTCGAGAAGGTAGAGAATGATACAGAACTTTTCTGTTCAGATAACACTCTCTACCTTCCCAGGGTGTTCTGCGAATTTTCGGACACCTAAATTTAAAATGGTGTTACTAACCTTTTCATCCATCCTTTCTTTCGCGACATCCTGCGGCGAGTGAGAGGCAAATGTGTTTTGTCGTATTTTCTTCCCATCACTTTTATAATATATTCTTCTTTTACTTGTATACACTCTTCTAAACACTTCTATACACTTACTACTATAAACACTATACAGCTTTCACTACACGTATATACACAGTCTGTCTAGACTCAACGTGTGTAAGTCAGCTGTTATCTCGCGCTATTACTGCAAGCCGCGTACAGATAGCAGTACACAATGCGCGCAAGTGTAGGTATGTACCAGCCCGGTCATACGCGCAATAGACGTTTTTGGCGCGTAAGCAAAATAACTTATTTTATTTTTCGTATATATGTAGATCTGTTTATATATTCACGACGAAAAAGACATTGATTTGTAAGAAATGTTTATACGTAAACTCGCTATTAGACATAATTATTTATACATATAATTATCATATGTATTTTTATTTGATTCACGTTTTTTTTAAACCGTTTGTATATACATAAAGTGATTAGTGGTATTTAATTTTAGCTAAATACTTATCACATAGATATAATAATATTGTCAAAGGTGAACTAAATATTTAGAAGAACGTTTTGAATTACAACACATTTATACCTAAAAAACTGCAAACTGTATGTACATGTATATTTGTCTATAAGTAAACATCTTTTTTATGATGAATATAAAGGAATAAAAATTGCATGCCGAGTAAAAAAATTTCATGCAATATAAAAAAATATGAAAAAATAATTTTCTAAAACATTTGAAAAATGACTTCGAGACATAAAACAAAATTGATGCAAATTATATCGTGACATAATAAAAATTTTTGTCCCAACATTATTCATCAAATTATTATTATGTTTGACATAATTATAATTTCTACAGAATCAATCAGAAACTTTTATATTGAATGATTTTTTACTCTGCCTACTATTTTTATTTCTTTATATTATTAAAAAGACGTTTATTTATTTTATAAACGTTTTCTAAAATATAGTTCACATCTTCGACAAGAACATATTTATATATATACATCAGTGCTCGGAATTATCTCAGCATTTCAGCCGATTCTCGTATGTCAACGCCTCCTTTTCTCCCTTTGCCGCGCGCGCTGCAGCCGCTAGGACGAGCGCGGCCGAGCCTCAGGAGCGGTACTATCCAATTATGATACGATCTTTCTCCCTTGATTTTTAAAATTTCAAAAAATGTATTAAACATAATTTTTTTTATTTTTACATTATACGTAGAAATATTTCAATATATTTTCATGTGAGGTATTATTGCTGACGTGTTTTTTTAGAGTGGTATCCCCTAGTAGGCCTATTCCACTGTAGAGAAAAAAATAGAGAGGAGAATTTATGATTAAACAATAAAAATATAAAAATATAAACATAAATTTATGATTAAAAAATACTTTTGCCATGCTTCATCAAACGGTATATAATCATAATAATAATATTATATAAAAAAAATTATGTTTAATACATTTTTTGAAATTTTAAAAATCAAGGGAGAAAGATCGTATCATAATTGGATAGTACCGTTCCTGAGGCTCGGCCGCGCTCGTCCTAGCGGCTGCAGCGCGCGCGGCAAAGGGAGAAAAGGAGGCGTCGACATACGAAAATCGGCTGAAATGCTGAGATAATTCCGAGCACTGATATACATATATATATATATATATATATATATATATATATATATATATGATAAATATTTATGTAATAAAGTACACACAAATATTATTTTATAATAGAGATATAAACGTTTAAAAAAAATTAAAATCTTTCAATAAAGATGTTTCAAATTAAAATATATATAGTAATTATTTCTATTAATCGTTGTGTATCATATCAAGTTTACGTGTATACATTATTTAAAAGAAAACCTATTTTTCATAAATATTGATGGATTTATTTATTTTTATCATTTAAAAAAAATATACGCGTGAGAGGGGCGAATATGATATCTCGCCAATCAAATCGGGTTTTCCAACCATTGAAAGAAGATAGAAAAAATGGTTACGCTCTCTCTCTTTCTCTCTTTCTCTCTCTCTCTCTCCCTCTCTTTCTCTCTCCTAATTTATCGAGCAATTATACACACATATACACGTTTAAAATATATAAATATATGTAAAAAAAATTTATTTTAATTTTTTTATACGAATATATGAGTAAACGTGAAACAAATCTGTAGCACGTCGCTAAGTTTCAAAGAATAATTGTATTCAATTGTTATTGAGTAATTAAAATTGCCAGAACATAATAACACACACAGTGCGGTATTTATTTAAGAATAATTGAGAATTTTTATTACGACATTTTTATTGGGATATAATTTCACTCAATTGTAACTATGTTGTAGCATAATAATGATTTGTTGAATTACACGTCGGGACATAATGAAAAATTTGATGAATTCTTTTCAGGAATATTACTAATTTGTTGAAATTAGTGAATTAAAACTATGTCGTCACACTAAAAAATTTGGAATTATTATTATGCCTCGATATGTAATAAACCAAATTATTATTGTCTCGACATAATTTGTTTATAACAATAATGGAGTAAAATTATTTTTAGGAACTTTATAAATCGAATTTTTTTTAAGTCAGATTATTGTTTCACGTTTACACATATTTGTATAAAAATAAAATCAAAGCAAACTTTCATACATATATTTATATACTTTACACATGTATATGTGTGTACAGTAGCTCGAGAAATTTGAGAGAGAGACAGAGAGAGAAAGAAAGAAAGAGAGCGTAGCAACATAAAAATCTTGATTAGGGAAAAGCCAACTACGCTCGTCGAAGAAATGTCACATTCGTCCGCTGCCCACATGACGAAGAAACCATGTGTACATACATATACTGCTCGGCGGCTCGACGTTCAGGTAGAAGAGCGCAGACAAGAATCTGCTATCTCTTTCTTTCTCGAGACATATACCTAACGTCTCAAGAATCATGTAAGCGCCGGCACCTGTCTTTTAGCTCTCACGTAACAATGTAAAAATTATAAGTAGATATCAATGTAATTACATATGTCTAATGTTATATCATGAATATGATAATTTTATCCTTTATATTGAAAGTTCTTATTTCTCCTGTATTTCATCGGTTGCATGAAACATTTTCTTCAAGATCATTTTGCTTCGAAAATATTTTTTAAAAATAGAACATACTTAAAAATCATATGTATAATATTATACACACACACACACACACACACACATATATATATATATATATATATGTATGTGTGTGTGTGTATAATATTATACATATAATTTTTTAAGTATCTTCTATTTTTAAAAAATATTTTTGAAGCAAAATGATCTTGAAGAAAATGTTTTATGCAACCGATGAAATACAGGAGAAATAAGAACTTTCAATATAAAGGATAAAATTATCATATTCATGATATAACATTAGACATATGTAATTACATTGATATCTACTTATAATTTTTACATTATTTGTCCTATATATACGTACATTGTACCAAACATTTTTATGATATATATATATATATATATATATATATTTTACGAATGATTTTCAAGAATATTTTGTTTTGGGGATATATATATATATATATATATCCCCAAAACAAAATATTCTTGAAAATCATTCGTAAAAAAAATATATATATATATATATATTCATAAAAATGTTTGGTGCAATGTACGTATATATAGGATAAATAAATGGATAAATTGTTATAACATTATACATATATACAGGATGTCCGGTAACTAACGGACCAACGATTACAAATGGATTCTTTGGTCAATTTGGGAACGATTTTTCCTCAGCGAAAATGTCGAAAAAGGTCATCATTTTTTACAACTTTCCAATATTTGTCATTATGTATCTTTATAACTAAGCCTCAAATTAAAATTTTATTATAGTAAATTCTATCTAAAATTAACTGAAGAATGTAATTATGTTAGACTTTTAACTCCAAAACGTTTAGTTTTCAAAAAACCCATTTTTTTCAATCGCTTATAACTCTAAAATTATTGACTTCTCAACATTTTTGCTAAGGAAAAATCGTCTCCAAATTGGCCAGAGAATCCGCCCTTAATCATTGGTCCGTTAGTTACCGGACACCCTGTATAATAACAAGATGTACTCTACTTATAATTTCATTTTTACGTGAGAGATAAAACAGGCGCCAGCGCTAACATGACTCGAGAAAGAAAGAGACAGTAGATGATATATCTGTCCTCTTCTACTACTCGAAGTCGAACGCCAGAAGCACGTGCGCGCACGCTGTTGTTTTCGTGTCGCTGCTTGCAAACCTACACACGTATATACGTATGTACACATACATAGTCGCACTTGTGTGCTGTTTACGCCGCTCATTTGTTTCGTCGTTTCGTCCAGTTTCGTTTTCGTAGCAGTCGTCCTGGTCGTCCAGTTGCGTCGCGTCGTTGTCTTGTGCGAATCGTGTTGAGTCGTGCTCGTGTCTCGTGTCGATCAGTCGGATCAGATGTGCAGCAAAGATGCAGAGATCATCGCACGCTACAAGAAGAAGTAGTAAGTAGAAATATATTTTTTTATTACGTATCAGGCATATAGAATAATGTTTCGAATTTTCGAACGATCGGAATATTAGGAGACGCGGTAGTGTCTCCGGCCATGTTCAAACCCTAAAAGACCTTAAAAGACACTACAAGTCTCCTTATCCTGCACCATCAAAGTCCATTTTTTGGGGGTGTAGAACTACTAAATATTAAATAATTCCCGCTGTTTGTCTATAGATGGCTCCAGCAGTAAGTGCTGGTCGATTTTGACAAATCCAAAACGTCACGAGCCAAGCTTAGACATATGGTAAACAAACCGCTTTGACATGTTAATGATTTTGTTTTGGCGTCATATACTTTTAGTTGTGTGAAAATGTCTGATTTTGTACCAAATAATCGTCATTTGCGGGAAGTGTTGATTTTCTTATTTCATTCGAAGAAAACGGCGGCTGAAGCGCATCGAGAGCTCCAAAAGTTTACGGAGATGCTGCTCTAAGTGAAACAACGTGCCGTGATTGGTTCCGTTGCTTCAAAGACGGTTATTTCGATGTTGACGACCGTCCGCGTGAAGGAAGGCCAAAAACCTTCGAAGACGCTGAATTGGAGGCATTGCTCGATGAGGATCCATGCCAAACGCAAGAACAGCTTGCTTCAGCATTAGGAGTTACCCGCCAAGCCATTTCCAAGCGATTGCATGCGAAAAACGGCCACAATACGAGCAGAGGCACGAAAAAGTGATTCTACTGCATGACAACGCTCGGCCTCATGTTGCCAAACCCGTTAAAACTTACGTGGAAACGCTCAAATGGGAAGTCCTACCCCACCCGCCATATTCCCCAGATATTGCGCCGTCCGATTATTACTTGTTCCGTTCGATGGCACATAGTCTGGCTGATCAGCAGTTCCGCTCATATGAAGACATCAAAAAAATGGCTTGATTCGTGGATAGCCTCAAAAGACGAATACTTTTACCGTAACGGTATTCGAGCTCTGCCAGAAAGATGGGAAAAAGTTGTGGCTAACGATGGGCAATACTTTGAATGATTCATTTGTAACCATTTTTTCACAATAAAGTTGCATTTTCATAAAAAAAACAGCGAGAACTTAGTTGCGCACCTAATATAAAAAATTTTAAATTGCACGTAATATAACCTGAAAGGCGGCATTGCCACGAGTAATTTGAGCCAAGAAAAAATAAAATCGGTCAAGCCGTTCTGGAGATACAAGTGGTCAAAAGGTGACGTTTTTCATGAAAAATGAAGTAACGTCGTCTTCTTCTCTGTCCGCTGACGTCATCAGGATTATATATATATATATAAATCTCTAAAATTCAATCAAATAACGGGAAACAGTTCACCCTCATTTAAATCCAAAGACAGACCTTAAGAAAAACAAAAAATCACAACCCCACAACTCAAAAAAACACTAAAAAACCTGTTAGAAGTAGTCAACCATTTTTAGTCCTATGTCACAACGTTGTCGGAAGTCTTTAACCCTCTTTGGTCCTCTTTAACCAATTCATTTCGTCCTCTTCGCATATTTAACCCTCTTCTTGTCGTCTTTCAACCATCTTTGCTCGTTCACCTATTTAGTACATCTCTCAACAAGTCTTTCAATTATCTATAACCCTAGTGAACCTTTTTCATTCACCACTACACCAAATTTCGTCCTCTTTAACTTCTTTCGTCTCTCAACATCTTTTGTTCCTCTTTCACCTCTTCTATAATACCTAAAACTCTTTCGTCCTTCTCACCTCTTTCACCCTCTTTCGTCTCTTCACCCTCTTTCATTCCAGATCACCTCTTTCGTCCTCTTTCAATACTTTCGTCACTCTTTTACAATCTTTCGTCCTCTTTCACCCTCTTTCATTCTTTCTAAAATCTTCGTCTCTCCTCCCTTTTTCATTCTCTCTCACCTTCTTCACCCTGTTTGTCTTCTTTTCACCCTCTTCATTCCCTCTCACCCTCTTTCGTCCTCTTTCACCCTCTTTCGTCCTCTTTCACTCTCTTTTCGTCCTCTCTCACCCTCTTTCATTATTCTCACCTCTTTCAACCATCTTTCGTCACTCTTTCCACCTCTTTCACTCTCTTTCGTCCTCTCTCACCCTCTTTCATTCTTTCTCACCCTCTTTCGCCCTCTCTCATCCTCTTTCGACCTCTTTCACACTCTTTCGTCCTCTCTCACCCTCTTTCGTCCTCTTTCACCTCTTCGTTCTCTCTTCAACCTCTTTCGTCCTCTTTCACCCTCTTTCGTCCTCTCTCACCCCTCTCTCACCTCTTTCACTCGTACGTCCTTTCTCACCCTTTTTCGTTCTCTTTCACCCTCTTCGCCTATCTCGTCTTCTCTTACCCTCATTCGTCCTCTCTCACCCTATCTCCAAAAAATCATAAAAATGAAAAGGTCAAGCCATGTTCAAAAGAAGGTCCTCAAAAATTTAAACCTAGTCTGTACAATGAAAAATAATTACTCGTAATTCCAGAGTTCCAATTTGTTAATATCGAATAATGTATTTGTTTCAAGTAATGCAGTAGAGTAGAGTCAATACATACCTACGTATATGCAGTTTTTGCTGTTAATTGTACTTGAACAAAAAAAATAATTAAATGATTTAAATATAGCACATTTTAAATCAAGAAACTTATATAATCGAACTCTGTTTAGGAAAAGGTAGAACATTTCATTTGCCTCTGCCTTTACAAGAAACATTGGATAAGGTATGTCCTCCGGAAGATCCTATAAATTTGAATCACGAGTTGCACATTCTCGTTCGAGGTATACCCAAGAAATCTAAAGTGGTTTGGGAAAATTTGGTAGATATTAATAAAATGTATAAGGCTTTACAATGGTTGAAAGAAAATAATCCTCATTACTCAAAAAATTCGTCTTCCAGCGTCATCTGATGATCTATTAAAGGATAAGTTGCAGGAAACAGAATATAGGATTGTCGATGAGGAAGCGACAATGACGAAATAAATGAGGTGGTTGAGGAATTACCAGCATTGAATTTGTACATGTACAGCAAAACAAAATAATAATAATCAAACCGTTTTAAAACGTACGGCTTTTCTCACACAAATCACTGAACATTCGGATATTAACGATCAGTATACAATATACCCAATACACGCGAAAGAATCGATAACGAATCTGCATTGAAGCTTTATCAAATGGTGAAAATTGAAGATTTTCCAATGGATAATCGTTATAAATATCTGGATGTCATGTGTTTTCCCTGATTTATATCCTGATGGTGTCAATGGACAACGAGAAGATAGAAACTTTGCATTGCCGGAATATTTATTATTAGAACACGATTGATCGAAACATAGTAGATTCAGGTTGAATCTGCAGTATCTGTTCTTCCTTCTCAATGATGCTAACTACCGACAGTTGAAAAGTGGTATCTATTATACGATGATGGTTACTAACCCACGAGAGAGATACACTGCTGGTAGATACTTGAACGAATTGAAAGGTTACCAATTAGAATCGAATTTAATGAGTATTTTCGCAAAATTGAGAAATACGGATCAATTTTGGCGACAACCGTCCAATAATGTAAAATGCATGACTTTGCATTACGGTCCAGCGACGTGGTTTTTGACTTTGAGTCCTAGTGAATGGAAATGGTCCGATTTGGGTGAATATTTACGAGATATGAATCCCGATAAAGAGAAGTTAGGCATCAGCGAACTAATCGCATACGATCCTGTAAGTACTTCTAGATTCATGTGCATAAAATTCAAAGCCATGATTGATTTTATTTGTTCGTCCGATAATCCAATAGGAAAGGTTATTCATTACTTCTGGCGACTGGAATATCAACGTAGAAGTATCCAGCACATGCATTGTATGATTTGGATAAAAGATGCTCCAGTATTAGGAAAATCGCCGGATGAAGAAGTTGCTACGTTTATTCAAAAATACGTAACGTGTGAAATTCCAGATGAAAATGTTTCGCCAACGTTGTACGATATGGTAATAAGTGATCAGAATCATAAACATAACTCGTATTGCATGCGTACGAAAAAAACGGAAACTAATATATACAGAAAGTGTCGGTTCGATTTTCCTCGGCCAGTTACTGAGAATTTCGTTTTAAGAGACGTTATCACTTCGATAGTCGGTAGAAAAAATTTACGCAGTAAGAGCAGATTGTACGATCTTCCTCGCAAGGAGTCGGAAAGGTTTATAAATGATTATAATCCGTCTATCAAATTAGCCTGGGAGGGAAATATGGACATACAATTATTAGAGAAAAATCAGAGTTTTTAAACTCATATTTAACAAAATACACGACAAAGTCGGAAAAATGCAATACAGACTTTGAAGTGATAGATTCGAATAAGTCCTTGGCATCGAAACTGTGGAATTTTGCAATGCGTTCATTAAATAACAGAGAATGCGGTGCTTTAGAAGCTGCGGATACACTATTAGGGAATCCCTTGTACGGTACGGATAATGATACCATGGTCAAATGGATCGATGTTAATGAGGTGAGAAATAGAAAAGTTAAAACATTTAATGAAATTTAAGCTCTCGATGAAAATTCTACGAATATTTACTGTTCGTCACTCATCGATGATTACTATCCAAATAGACCTCAGGAATTAGAATCATTGAATTTGTACGATTTTGCCAGATTCTGGGAAATTACGAAACAGATGTCAAATAATGACGAAGTCAAGTGTTACAAACTGGCATCGGGTTTATTTTTAAAAAAACGAAAAAAGGGTTATTTAATTAACCATTATCGATTTAATATAAAAACTGAGCCCGAAAAATACTTTTACTCGCTGCTTCTGTTCAAACCATGGAGAGATTTGAGTGAACTCAAAGGTACATTCGAGACTTACACGGATGCCTTTAAGAATTCAGAGTCTGTTTTAACGAAGGCAATGAATATCACGAAAGGCTCGAAGAAATACAGAAAGCTTTTGAGAACGTTGCTGAATTAATCGAGAAGCGCGAAAATGATCTGAAAACAGCAGACAGAGACAAATCCGATGACGATGAACTGGATTGTAATCCGATAGAAGCTGACGACGCGATGAAAGATCTGGAAGATTGGTAAGATTGACGACCCGATTGATTTATCGCAAATGATGTCGCAATTGAACAAAGACCAGAAAAGAGTCTTTGATGGAGTATGCCAAGTTTTACAAGATAAGAATCAGATTCTGCGACTGTACGTAAGTGGCGAGGGTGGTACAGGGAAAAGTTTTCTAATTGAAACGATTAAACATTGGATCAGAATAAATTTGGAAAAAACGACTGCCATATCTGCTCCCACGGGTATCGCAGCATTCAATATCGATGGCTTGACAATCCATAGAATGTTTCAACTACCGGTTAGTCATGAATCTACACCAAAATATACGCAATTGTCAGACATGGTCTTGAAAATTTGAGACAAATTAAAGAATGTCGAATTATTTATAATCGAAGGAATTACATGTAACAATGCAATGATGGATTTAGGAACGACTGTATTCAGTGATGGTCAAGCCTATGTAGGTTTGTCACGAGTAAGTAAATTGGAAGGCCTACATTTGATAAATTTCAATCCAGCATCAGTTAAAGCAAACTCGAGAGCCATTGTAGAAATCGACTGAGATCTATATTCAAATCTGAACTGCCACAAATCAATCCGTCCGAGAAAAAGGTTGTGAAAATGTACGATCGTCGATGGGATATCCCTAATATCATTGATGATATGCAGAATTATGATTGTGAGGAACCAGAAAGTATAGTTACGTGGAAAATATATGGCTTTGCAATAACGATGCTGTTTCGTGTTACGCTAATGTAATATTACAATGTGCGTTTCATTGCGTACGTATTAGGCAACAAATACTGAAAAATAAAGCATCGAATGCATTGATTGATGCTATCTGCGCGTATGGTGAACGTAAATATTGCAACATTCAAGCGGTTAGAAGATCTGTCGGAAAACGCTTCGAAGAACGAACACAACAAAGTTTCGGAATTTTTTACGGCTCTAATGTCGACGTATTCCGACATCAATGATGTATTAAAACTCGAATTAAAGCACGTAACATGTTGCTCGAATGTCAAATGTAATTACAATGTAACTAAGCTGGAAAGCAGTAGTTTGTTAATATTACCTATACATTCGACATTAAAAAGGAAAAAAGGTGTCACTCTACAAAGTTTGATTAATGTAGAATTTTTAAATGGGAAACGATAAACGGCAATTGTAACGAATGTAAGGGCACCGTGTTGAAAAAGAAAACCGTAATCGAATCAACTTTATCCGTCGTAGTAATACAGCTCAATTTATATACTTTTATAAACGGTGCTTCTAAAAAAATTATCAACAATCGAATTACCGCCGTGCCGACGAGTAATATCACGATTAATAAAAAAAAGTACAAGCTAATAAGCGCTATATTTCACGAAGGTGAAGAAATGAATCGTGGTCACTACACGTGTATGTTGAGAGCTGACACAAAATCGGAATGGTATTACTCTAATGATATGGAAGTGTTCAAGAAAAATGGCCCCAAGGAGCACAAGGGCATACATATTGTTCTTAGAACAGATTAAATAATGGCGCTGTATAAAGGCTGCCGTAAACGCTACATTAAAACATCAACTGTTCTAGCGCTGTATAAAAGTTGCCGTAAGCGCCAAAATAAAATATCGGCTGCTCTGGCGCTTTATAAAAGCTGCTGTAAGCGCTGCATTAAAAACGAGTGCAATAAGTTTCTAATTTGACCTAGGCTTCATGACATTTCAAAAAGTATCATCAAGAAAAAAATTATCAGACAGAAATATGTATGTCGTGTTAAAATCGGAGAGACGAAGAAAAATATATGGTTGCGTTCTCACGAGAATGGGCGATGGAGGGGCCCATTCTTTATTTCAATATTCATACAAGAATATAAATTCATTCTGTTGCAATTGAAATAAATGTGCAATGTATCGTTAAAAGTTATTACAATTATACAAACATTTACATATATGATTAAATAAAATATATATGTATACTATAATATAATTATATATTTTATATATGTACATATATACCATATATTTCAATTATTTTGGACTGTATTGCATAAATTGTTACTTATACAAAGTTATGTGATAAGAAATCGAAAATACATATATTTGTGATACTTGAATTACTAGAAAGCTGCTCTATATATCTGTACTTTAAAAAGTAAGTGATATCCTAAAAAAAATCATAAAAATGAAAAAGTCAGGCCATGTTCAAAAGAAGGTACTCAAAAATTTAAACGATCTAATAATAAATTATCACGAAAAGTAACTGATATGTTATTCAAGGTGCCAGTTCAAAGTGAACATACGTAAAGTGGTATATATCTAAATTTAGTAATAATATATTACCATGAAAAGTAACTGTGATATTTTATTCAAGGTGCAAGTTCACATTGAATATACATACATATAAGTAAAACTGATTACAATTTGATTCTAGAAAATAAGTGCGATATGTTATTCTTAGTGCACAAAATATAATAGTCGTTTATAGAGATTTGATTTGAAATTCATACTAGCCCGTACAATGAAAAATAATTGCTCGTAATTCCAGAGTACAATTTGTTAATGACTCAGAAAAATAACATGGCGGCCTGCTCTCAAAAAACTTTCGATGGGTAGAATAAATAATTGAAATAAGAGTTGTGAAAATTGTATAAATTAAAAACCTCCAATCTTTCTTTAGTAAAATTTCGAATTTTGTATCAACTTCCGATTGTGTTATACCGTATATTTCAGGGAGTAAGTTATTGATCAGAAAACTTTGCCTTGTTGCTCGAAACGGGTGTATATTAAGTAAAATTTATAAATGTACAGTTCTCAGGTCAACTACAATAAAGCTATACGCTTAAAAAGTTTACTGATTATTTGTCGTAATATACAATAAAAAATTACATATTAATTATTCAAGATACAAGTGAGAAATAAATATCATTAAAATATACAAAAAATTTATCAATTTGACTCTGAAAAGTAAGTGACATGGTTTCAAAGTGCAAGGTTTCATTTGACTTACAATTTCTTCAGAAACACAGAAGAAAAAGGTATTGTATATAGTTTTGTATATTCACTTCGTGTGTGTGTGTAGAGCTTTTAAAAATACGTTGAATCCTTATTTAATCTAATCTTCTTCTAATGTAATACTTTTCGTATTTCAAATGTGTAGTAATTATTCTGTAAGAGCTTCGACATTATTTCTAAATGGACATCGAGAAACATCATAGTTTTTTGAGAGCAGGCCGCCATGTTATTTTTCTGAGTCATTAACAAATTGGTACTCTGGAATTACGAGCAATTATTTTTCATTGTACGGGCTAGTATGAATTTCAAATCAAATCTCTATAAACGACTATTATATTTTGTGCACTAAGAATAACATATCGCACTTATTTTCTAGAATCAAATTGTAATCAGTTTTACTTATATGTATGTATATTCAATGTGAACTTGCACCTTGAATAAAATATCACAGTTACTTTTCATGGTAATATATTATTACTAATTTAGATAATATACACTTTACGTATGTTCACTTTGAACTGGCACCTTGAATAACATATCAGTTACTTTTCGTGATAATTTATTATTAGATCGTTTAAATTTTGAGTACCTTCTTTTGAACATGGCCTGACCTTTTCATTTTTATGATTTTTTAGGATTATTTTATCTAGTCCTTATTCACAAGAATAAATAATATTCGAAAGCATTATTGCGTCTTGTCCGACTATAGCTAATTATGTCATGTATATAATATGTATGCTGTAGGTGTCTGTAATATTTATGTATTTTGTAATATTGTCACGAAATAGCAATGTGTGTAAGAGAGAAGAGAAAGAGAAAGAGAACGGAAAGAGGGCGAGAGAGAGATGAGAGAGAGAGAGCAGAGAGAGGAGAGAGAGAGAGAGAGAGTGCGTGTTGTGTACGGCAATATTTTAGTACAAATTGTATGCGATATATGACAGTATGTGTATTATCTAGATATATATACATAACTAGACTCATGGAACTATATAGTTTAAATTAGCATACAGTCTCAAACAGCATAGAAGGACAAGGAGAGAAAAATAAGGACTTCTTTTTGCGCGGGTAAAGAATGTGTCCATGTTTTGTAACACATATACTCTCTCTTCTCTCTCTCTCTCCCTCTTTCTCTCTATTCCTTCTTTTTCTCCTCTTTTCTCTATTTTTTTTCTTTCTCTTGTTCTCTCACACACATTATTCCTCTTTCATGACAATATTAAAAATATATAAATACATACACAGACACACATATGTACATATTACATATATACATATATATTAGGCTATGATCGGAAAAAACGCTATGAATGCTTCGAAATATTCAATGTTTATTCTTGTGAAATATAGAACAACGATATTCCGATCGTTCGTCCCGATCGCAGTCTTAGTATTTATTTTGTCGAAAACAAAATTAGACCAAAAAAATAATTTTAAATTTTCAGGAGGATCGACTAATAATGCATCGCCGAGAAACGACGCGGCCTGCCAAGAATAGACGCGGCCCCGCCAAGAATAGACGTGACCCCGCCAAGAATAGACACGGCCCCGCCAAGAATAGACGCGGCCCCGCCGAGGAACAACGCAGCCCCGCCGAGGATTGACGCAGCCCCGCCGAGGAACGACGCAGCCCACGCAGCCCCGCCGAGGATTGACGCAGCCCACCGAGGAACGACGCGGTGAATAGACTAATGCAAAAGGTTGGTAATAATTTTTGTAGTAAAATTGACCGCGCAGTTATTTTTATTGCACTAAATTATTGAAATAATTTTTTGAATTCTTTTTAAAAAATATATATTTTAATAAATTTTTTGTTGATAAATATATGAAATATATACGCTTTGTATAAAGGGCTAATTTTTATAACAAGTCTAATTAAAATTTATTTATGTATGTGTGTGTAACATATATACATACATATATACAGGCTATTGTTATTGTAACAGTGCACAATAAAAAATATGTGATAAGCAAAAGAAATAAATA